TGGAACTTGTTGGAACGTTTTGTTAGACGAGCAGCATTACGATGCCATCATATCCATGCCGGGAGTGACGGGGAACCAATATTACTGTGATCATTGCGACGTGGGGTACAGGACTGTCACAGACCATCGGTCCCAGTGCCCTCATCGCTGTAAATATTGTTTAGGATGCCCCCGATGTCCCGAAGACGGGAGCCGCATTCAATGTCAGGAATGCCATGGATTTTTTAAGAACAGGACCTGCTATGAAAATCATTTAAGACCCCATAGTAAGAAAACCACCACCAGTGTCTGCAATTTAATGGGACGATGCGAGAAGTGTCATTCCTGGATGCCTAAGAAATTAATTCCTCGTCACAAGTGCGGAGAACAGAAACAATGTAAGATCTGTAAGAAAATCGTCGATGCCGATCATCAGTGCTACGTACAGCAGAAGCCCGAGAACAAGAAGAAGGGGAAAGAGACCTTACAGTTTTACATCTATTTCGATTTCGAATGCACTCAGGAAACCTGCATTAACATCCCTAAACTGTGTGTGGCACACCGCGTCTGTCAACATTGCGGTCACTTACCCATAGACCAATTCTGTCCTCATTGTCAACACATGGGACTCCGTCAGCACCTATTTAAAGGACCAGACACCTTAAAGAAGTTCATGGACTGGTTATTACAACCGACTACAGGTACTAAGAATTCCACTTTAGTACACGACGAGGCCATCATCATCGCCCATAACTTCAAAGGATACGACGGACAATTCATTTTGAATCACCTGGTGCATTCCTCTTGCCTGAAACCTAACGTTATCATGAACGGCAGTAAGATCTTGTACATGGAAATATGCGGATTGAAATTCATCGACTCGTATAATTTCTTACCGTTTGCATTGGCCAAGATGCCCTCGGCTTTCGGATTCACCGAACTCAAGAAAGGCTATTTCCCCCACTTTTTTAATACGGAACAGAACCAGAATTACGTGGGACCTTATCCACCGGCAGCTTTCTACAATCCGGACGAAATGTCTATCAGTGGACGACAGGCTTTTTTCGAATGGTACGAACAACAGACTGGAAAAGTGTTTGATTTCCAGAAAGAGTTTGTAGAGTATTGTGTCTCGGACGTCGACATTTTACGACGATTCTGTGCAGAGTTTAGAACCACCCTCAAGAACCTGGTCAAAGTGGACCCTTTCCAGGAATCCATCACTTTTGCCAGTGCTGCTAATTTAACCTACCGTCGACAATTCATGCCTAAAGAGACCATTGCCATCATTCCGAACCTGGGGTATCAACCGGCACGACAATATTCGGCCAAAGCCTGTCGGTGGCTCACCTGGATGAGTCAACAGACCGGATGTCACATACGCCATGCCAGAAACGGGGGCGAAGTCAAGATCGGAAATTATACCGTCGACGGATACCAGGAAGCGACTCGTACCGTCTACGAATTTTACGGGTGCTATTGGCACGGATGCCCCACCTGCTATCCCAGTCTACAGACCGAAACTCATCCTCACCGGACCCAGTTTACTTACCAACAATTAGACGAGGAAACCCTCAAAAGGACTGCTGTCTTGGAGGACATGGGGTACAATGTTCGTAGCATCTGGGAGCACGATTTCGATCAGCAAGTGCAACGAGATGTGAGTTTACAGCATTTTGTACGAGACCTGGACATTCCCGATCCTTTGAACCCCCGAGACGCCCTGTACGGAGGCCGGACTAATGCCACTCGATTATATTGTGAGGAAGGGGACATGAGATACGTGGACGTCTGTTCCCTATACCCTTACGTGTTGAAACACAGACCTTTTCCTGTGGGGCATCCCGAGATCATCACAGATGAGTTCCGGGACGTGAGAAGTTATTTTGGTCTCATTCACTGTCGGGTCTTACCACCCAGAGGCCTCTATCACCCCATATTACCTTATCGGACGGGAGGCAAGTTATTATTTCCCTTATGTCGAACGTGTGCCGAACGACAGGACTCTACTTCTCAAGATCGATGTCCACACACCGACCAGGAACGCAGTCTCACGGGCACCTGGGTGAATACCGAATTACATAAAGCCCTAGACATGGGATATACCTTAGAGCGAATCTACGAAGTGTGGCATTTTAAAGAAAGCAGACAGGATTTATTCAGACACACTACATCGATACCTTCCTCAAGATCAAACAGGAACGCGGGTATGTTAAGGAAGCATATAAGTAATTTCTCGGGAAATTTGAATTTTTTGAAGAAAAATTAGTTTAATAAATTACCAAAACCACTGATAAACGTAAACTGTTATTTACTATTGCATACAGATAAAAGCGTGTCTAACGCAAAGACGTGCATCACCGCCACGGCATCATGTGACTTCTATTAATAGCAAAATTTTCCTTAATTAAAAGGCTTACAGAACAACAATACCCCGGAGTTTGATAATTTCTTTGAGTATGTAATATAGTTGAAAAATATCTATTTTGTCAAAAAAATGCTGCTACCCACTATCTTGTCCGTAAAATATTTATTCCACACATTCGCACGAAACTTTACCCTTTGTTTTGAATTTTATACATATGAATCGAGATTTTTCGTACAACCATGCTTAACTCGGGATTCTAGCAGCACTTTCCAAGTTTGTCAAAACGCAAACTTTCAATCTGTACAAATCGAATGTTTTGAAATATATAGCTTATTGTTGTTCTGTTGCATTTTTTAGTCAAGAATGACGGACGATAGGCCGACCGGGATACGTAATATAGCTGACTGTCTTCGAAAGAGAATATAATCGATGAAAATAATAATAATAATAATAATAATAATGATACTTTATTTTGAGAGGGTAACCCGATTAGTGTAATGCACTAGTCTTCCTCGGGGCCCTCTTAGCATGTTCACAATAATACATGTACAATAATAAAAACATTTTACAATAATAAATAAATAATACAATATGACGTAAAAATACTTTTTTAGGACATTTTAGTTGCGACACTTTATAATAAATGTTTCAACATTTTTACGAAATGTGTGTAAATTCTGTGAAAAACGTATATACAAAGGTAATTTGTTCGATAAATGAACACCAGAATAATGAAAAGAATTTTTAAATTGATTTGTTCGATATTTCGGAAGTTGAAGGTCATACTTTGTTTCAGATCGTAGAACATAATTATTAGAAGAAATAAATTCAAAAGAGTCTCTTAAATAAGTAGGTGCCATACCATGAAGTGTTTTGTACAGTAGTAAATATTTATGAAAATCGATCAACTCGTATATGGTCAGCCATCCAAGTTTTTCAAATAATGGTAGTGAAGGGGCATCGTAAGCCACATCTAATATAATCCGGGCTGCCCTTTTTTGCAATTTAAAAACTCTATCTATGCCAGCACCTGGCGCATTACCCCAAATAGTAAGACAATAATTCATAGAAGGCAGAATGTATGCATGATAGAATAGTTTTCTTGTGTGTAAGGGAAGAAATTTTTTAATTTTGCGTAAAGTATATAATTTATATGTCAAAAATTTACAAACTGAGTCAATATGGTGATTATAGCGCAATGAATGATCAATATGCACTCCCAGAAGTTTTTCAGATTCAACATTTTCAATTAATTTGTTTGAAGCATATAAATTTAGTTCAGGGGAATTTATTCTTGATTTTATAAATTAACATACCTGTTTAATTAATTGACCTCCATATGAATTTATCACAATATTTCCTATATTTCCTTTTAAACTCCATTTTACGTATCTTTGATCTTAGCCAAATTCTCTTTACACGACATGATCAATTTCCAAGTTACTTGATGTACACATATGACGTCATCGGTGGTAGATTTTAATCATAATGACTGTTACAGCATAACAAAATAAAAACATTTTATTTTTGTTAATGTTTACACGTTTCTAATCATTTTCTAGAGTTAAATTACATCGCTAAATACCAATATTACGTAAACCTGATTTCTAAAATTGACGTCATCTCGACTACTATGACGTCATAATGCAGCACTGATTTAGCCAAGGTAAAATATTTTGTATGCTTCCTTATCCCCCCTGCGAAGCCTCCGGATTTTCCCCCGACTGTGAGACCTCAGAACAAAAACAAGATTACATTCGACAAGTCTTAGACAAAGAAGGCATCATGATGGACATTCTCAGTATCGAGAAGAATCCAGTGAGAAGAACCATTGCTAAACTCTTTTTAAATTGTCTGTGGGGAAAATTTGCTCAACGGCTGTTATTACCCAAAACCAGATACTTGGACGAAGAAGAGGAATTACAGCAACTCTTACAAGATTCGACTCTCGACATCAAGGGCATGCAACTCTTGGACAATAAAGAGGACCCCAGAAAGGACAAGATGCTAGTGAATTATCAAGACAAACAGGAATTCGTCGAAGAATGTCCATTTGGAAACGTGGTCCTGGCTTGTTTTACCACCGCGCATGCCCGCTTACACCCCTACGAGACTTTACAACCTTTAGGAGATCGGGTCCTTTATTTCGATACGGACAGTATCATTTATCAACATCGGGAAGGAGGTTTTAATCCTACCTTGGGCAATAGTTTAGGAGAATGGACCGACGAATTAGACGGGGATCACATCATCAAATTCATGTCGGCAGGCCCTAAAAATTATGGTTATCGGACCGCCAAAGGAACCGAGGTCCATAAAGTCAAAGGAATCACTCTCAACCATCGAACCTCCCAGATCGTGTCCCTAGAGACTTTTGAAAAAATGCTCAAAGGAGAAATAGAGGAAGTTACAGTCCCTTATCCCCACAAAATCCAGAGGACCCGTGATCATGACGTCGTGACCAAACCTTTAGAGAAACAGTATAGAATTGTGTATGATAAGAGACAATTATTACCCTCTTATAACACTTTACCTTATGGTTATTGATATGTTCAATGTTGACATTGAATTAAAAAATTGATTGTTTTATGTGTTTTTTTTCTGCTTCATATTCTCTATAAAAAGGGGGGTAATACAAATCAAAAGTTCATTCATGACTGAGAAAGTGCCAGATCAACCCATGCGTTATCCTCAGTATGCTCGGCTCTCAAAGAGAGAAGCTACTTTTGAGCACGGATGGCCAGAACCTCTCTTAGGAAAAATACCAGACATAGCTCGAGCTGGGTTTTTCTGCAAAGGTTATGAGGACAAGACAGTCTGTTTTCATTGTGGAATGACTTTAATCAATTGGGATCCCGAGGACGATCCTTGTGTAGAACATGCTTACTGGAACCCCAATTGTCCTTACATCAATCTGTATAAAGGACGAGGGTGGGTGATGAATGTGTTCATTGCAGGTTTAGATCAGCATGGGTATAAACCTATACCTGAGATTAAACCTCTACTGAACCCAGAACCAGACGTCCAGGCTCGAGGAAAATGTCACATTTGTTTAGACGAAGAATTACAAATCGTTTTTCTACCTTGCGGACACGTGTGTTGCTGTGCTTTGTGTGCTCCTTCCTTTCAGTTTTGCCCCATCTGTCGAGCCGAGATTCAACAGTCCAAACGCATATTTCTGTGTTAACTATAAATAAGACCCTGAACCCAACTTATCTTTCATTGATCAACATGTATTCCGAGGAGACACCCCTCCCCTCTTTTCAATTGAAACACGAGTTTACCATGGTGGTTGCATGGCCCTCGAAATCGGGCAAAACAGAATTCGTCAAGACATTAGTGAACAATGTACACTGGATCACCGCCATGCCCGAAAAAAATCGTCTGGTGTTATCGGGAATGGCAACCCGCTTACACTTCTTTAAAAGATAAGGTATCTTTCATCCGAAATATTCCAGAAGACGACGAGAAATTAGTAGCCAATTTGAGTGTGCCCCATTTACTCATTTTTGACGACATGATGGGAGGAAAAGCCATCGAATCCATTGTGGATTGGTTTACCCGCAAAGCGCATCATCGGAATACCAGTGTGATTTACATCACTCAGAATTTATTTGATCGAGCCGCCTCTCATCGCACCATTAGTTTGAATGCTCATTATTTAGTCTTATTCAAAAATCCCAGAGACAAATCTCAGATCAGTGTGTTGAGTCGTCAGCTAGCCTTGCCTCATTTGATGTCTGCTTATCAAGAAGCCACCCAGGTGCCTCACGGATATCTTCTCGTTGACCTGAGTCCCCAGACCCCAGACGAATACCGATTGAGAAGTCGAATGTTTGAAATGTTGACTGTACACATGCCTCAAGAGTATAAATAAAAGTGTTTCACACTCTTCTGGGTCATTGTTCATTTCCATCTCATCATGGCTCCATCGGCCAAGAGTAAATTAGTGAGAACCTTACGACGTTTACAGCGGGAACGAGATCCCGCCAAGCGAGCCCATTTAATCGAATTAGGGCGTAAAGCCTTATTGAATTGGTTTGCTATGGGAGCTCGCAATTTAATGAAAGGGGTCTTACCTATCAATAAACAGACCCAAAAGTTTATCGATCATCATCGTCAAGATTTAAAGATCATTGCCGATCAATCGGCCAGTGATCAAGACAGATAAACGGCTATTTTAAAACGCGGAGAGCTGGATTTCTAGGCGGAGTCATCATTCGTCATTTATTCAAATGGAATAGTCCTAAAAAACGACGGGTTCGTCGTTTGAAGAGTGTAGTGGTAAGAGTCGATAATAAGAAACAAAGAGTGTTTCCGGATTGGATGGTCCGTGTCGGAGGAGCAGCTCAAAAGAGCAGAAAAAAGAAGAAGAGAATAGCCCCTCCCAAGAAGAGAAAAGCCCCTCCTAAGAAGAAAAAACCCCACCCAAGAAAAAAGCCCCTCCCAAGAAAACAGCGGCGAAAAGGCGAAAATCTGCTCCTCAAACTCTAGCTCAACGTAAAGCCATGCCCGAAAGTCTAAAAAACGAAATCAATCAGTATTATAAGGAACAAAGACAAAAGACCATAGGAAAGTTACTCAAGAAACAAGCAGAACTGAGAATGGATCGTGCTATGGGACCCATAGGCAGTCAAAGAGCCAGCGATTTAGAAGTGTTTCCTCGAGTGAATGTGGGCATTCCCTCCTCCTCCCCTGGAATTAAAGTCCCCGTTCATTCCCCTAAAATCACACGTTTTCAACCCTTGACGGCCTCCACCCCTAAACTTCCTAAAGGTCTGAGATATAAATGCCGATATTGCAGAAAAATTTATGTCAGGGAGAAAGCTAGAGATAAACACGAGAGCGACAAACACGGAGGGTATGCCCCTCCTTAAGAGAGACACTATAAAAGGGAGTGACATGGGAGACTTCTCTTCATTGTTTTCAAAGATGGCCAAGAAGAAAAAGGGATGTTGTACGCGATTAAGAGCGCATGCCCCTCTTTTAAGAGTGTTATCAGACCCTCACTATTCCTCGTCCTTAAAAACGGGGATTTTAAAACATTGTTCTGGAGATTGTATTCTGAAAATTTGTGAGATCGTCTACAACCTATTAAAAGGGGTGTTACCTCTCAATTCGGCTCAGAAACGAAAACTAGCTCCTAAGAAACACATCTTAAGGAGACTGGTCCGACCCCAATCTGTCCAGAAAAGACGAGCTTTATTAGTACAACAAAAAGGAGGAAATCTTTTACCCCTTTTAATCTCAGCAGCCCCTTTACTGTTGGATACCGGACATTCTATCTATAAAGCCATTAAAAAGAAGAGGAACAAGAAGATACAAAAATGAGTCGTAAAATGGTGTTAGTACCTGAAATTCTGTTGAATGAACTCAAAGGAAAATTCCCTAAACCTCCGGAATTTCAATCTACTCTGAGTATAGGTCAAGAATTGGATCAGATTACCAGACGTGAAGATTTAACTCCAGAAGAAAAAGTGGCTTTATACGGTCAAGAACTTCATCGGTATAGGAATTATTTACAACAAGCGAGAGAGCCAGGGACTACCAAAAAAACCTCAGTCCCTGCACCCGTAGCCCCAGCAGCAGCAGCAGCTCCAGAGCCCGAGATCGATCAACAAATCATTCAAAGCGTGAATAAACCCATGCAAAGAAAAGCTGAATTATTATTAAATCATTTAAAGAAAAGCAAAGTATTGACTTGGAATAAAGACGGAGAAATCAGTTATCGAGGTCAAAAAGTACCCAATTCTAACATTGTGGATTTAATGGCTGAAAACATGAGAACCATACCCTAGAAAAATCATCCGGTTCCTAAAGGATTAGATGAATTTGCTCAAGCTTTAAAAGAGACCCATGCTCCGATGGACTACGTGAAAAATCAAAACCTTATAAAAGCCATGCAGAAACCACCAAAAATCAGTACACCTAAAGGGGCTTTGAGTGACGAGGACGAAGAGAGCGGATTTCAGGATGCTTCATCTTCTTTTTTGACCCCTATTAGTCGACCTGTAGAGGCAAGATCAAGGGTGCTAAAAAAATTCTCACCTAAATATAGTCCCTATCGAGCCAGTAAGCAATTAAAAGCCCAAGAAGAAGCCAATAAGAAGAAATTACAACAAATCAACGAAGATTGGCTTCCTTTGCCTAAGACATGAAGAAGAAGAAGAAGAAGAAGAAGGAAGTGGGGGACATTTTAACAGAGATTTATTACGATCCCAAGAGAGGGTATGGAGGAATACAGACTTTGTATCGTCAGGTCAAAAGTCTGGGACATAAGATTTCCTTGAACACCATACGAGAATGGTTAAAAGAGCAAGATACCTATACCTTACATAAACCCATTCACAGAAAATTCCGGAGACAACAGACCAGAGTGATGGATATAGACGAACAATGGCAATTAGATTTAGCCGATGTGTCCAGTTTAAAGAAACACAATGACGGCTATACGTTTTTATTGTGTGCCATTGACGTCTTATCTAAATATGCATGGGTGGTGCCTTTAAAACAGAAAACGGGAAAAGAAATGATTCGAGGATTACAAGAGATTTTCCGACAAGACGGTCAACGTCCCATCCGCATTCAATCGGATCAAGGCAAAGAATTTACCAATCGAGAATTCCTACAGGCTTTTAAATCCATTCATTTCTTTACCACTCGCAATACGGACACCAAAGCTAGTATTGTGGAACGATTTCAGAGAACCCTCAAAGCACGCATGTGGCGGTATTTCACTCGGAATAAAACCAGACGGTATTTAGAGGTCTTACCGGATTTAGTGTATGCTTACAATCATACCTATCATCGCAGTATCCAAAGAGCCCCAGCTCAAGTGAAGCCCTCGAATGTGTTAAAAGTCTGGAAAACTTTATATGGGGAATCACAGACCTCTCCTAAACCCCCCAAGTTTAAAACAGGAGATAAGGTCCGCATCAGTAAAGCCAAACGCACTTTTGAAAAAGGATATTTACCGAACTGGACCACGGAAATATTTACCATTGCTCAACAAATCCCAGGTCGGTATCCTTACGTGTATCGAGTACAAGATTACAACCAAGAGGAATTAGAAGGGACTTTTTACGAGAAAGAATTACAACAGATCATTAAAAAAGACGACGTGTACGAAGTGGAGGAAATCTTGGGGTATAAAAAGCGACGAGTCGGGAAGAAAATCATTCAAGAAGTCAAAGTCCGGTGGAAAGGATATCCCCCTAGTTTCGATTCATGGATTCCTCAAACGGATCTCATCCAGTAACTCCTCATTGGAAATTTTGTGGAGAGAATATTTCTCGAGAAGAAATTGTGTATTTTGCACAATTATTCATTTGTATTTCCCTCATCATCCCGATTGTGGTCATGTTAGCTTTACACGATCTTAATCGAGAATATTGGATGGTATGTGTGAGTTCTTCGGTCGGTTACATCATGCCTAGTCCTACTATGATGCATCAAACCCCTACGGTCAAGAAGACGAATTCACCAAGTTAGGATATATTAGGAGACACCCAAACCCCAAGGGGATCATTTCTGATCTGAGTGAGGGACAGAGCACATCATGGATTTTTTAAGCTTAGAGTATCGTTGGAAAATAGTGGAACGTGAAGGGACCACTCACAAAGGAGAATGGATGAGAAATAAAGAGACATGTATTCAAGATTTCTTTGATCAAAATCCAGGACAAACAGGTCTCAATGAAATCTACCTGTATAAGAGATTCAAGTTACCGGACCGCAAAAGAAGCAAACACATGGTCTTAATAGGACCCAGATCACCTAAATATGGAGAATTCAAATGGAAAGTCAAATACGTCTTGGCTCACCGAAGACAGGGACCCGAGAAGACTTGGATTCATGGGAAATGGATGGAAAAAGCCAGAGATTGTATAGAAGACTATTTGAAAGAAGTGATCCTAAAAGGATACGATATCACGGACTGTGCTTGTGAAAGAGACTATTTGTACATGAGGAAATCGTTCCCCATACAAAAAGAACTGAACAGAAGTTTTGAATGTTTGTTATTATGATGTTCTTGTTATTGTTGTTATGAATAAAATAAAAGAAACCAAAATTCTAGTGTTGTTCTTTATTTTTCCCTATAACTGAGATAGAAAAAAAACAAACAAGACTTGCTTCTTTTTGTTTACACTTTTATTGTTCAAAAGGATATTTATTTCCATCATATCGACATAAAGGACATCCCCTTGTAGGAAGTTTGAAAAAGGTTCTTTACACACTTTTCACAGCAGGGGTATTTCATACACTGTCCACATTTCCATTTTCCTTGAGTGTTAAATTCCCAGCAGGAAAGACATTTCTCAATTTTTCTATTTCTTTTCATGAATTTGGCCCGAGGGGGTGTGATTTTCTCCACTGGATATTTCCACAGGAAATATTTCAGGCACCAATCACAGGCACAATCTTCTAAAGACGGGGGGTCATCTATCACCCAGTGTGGTATAGGTTCTCCACATTCACTGCATCCCCAAAACCAACTAACAATTTTTCCCGCATGATTGTAGGCGGCGTATTTCCAAACGTTTTTCGTCTCCTTATGGCAGTGATGGCATATTTTCTTTTCTTCCTCATACTAATACATAATTTTCCACGCAAAAGACATGATTGCTAAATAATGACCGCAGTGAAGTCAAAGCGGCGCTCTATATACCCTAGGTTTGTGATGATGACGTGACAATCACTGACTTGAATCGCTGCCAAGTATTACCTGTGTAGTCAGCATAAAAAACGTAGGTCTATCGTATTTTTGCACACGGCCCTTACAGTAAAGGTATATAAAGCGGAGCTGGGAGCACCCTGCGCTCATTATACCCATCATGATTTTTGTGTGGAGATGGTTGTATTTGTACGAGGTAGAAAAATATGTTTGTCATTACTGTGATCAGAAGATGATCCATCCGAGAGAATTCACAGTGTATAACCCCTGTCCCGGATGGCGTTGGAAAGTCTATAGGATTTGCGAGCATTGTGAAATGCCATTTCCACATTGGTTTGACGATGATGAGCCTTCCATGGAGACTTGTGGTTGTAGCTGATGCATTAAATATTTCATCTGGAAGAAAGGAATTGAGAATATACCGCCTCCCCGATGGGTGAAAATGACCAGGAACAGACCGTTGAAAGAATGTATGACCTGCTGCCAGGAAAAGACTCAAGGAAAATGGAAATGCGGACAATGCAGGCAATACCCTTGTTGTGAAAACTGTATAGAGAAGTTCACAGTGACCTGCTACAGAAATTGTCCCTTATGTCGATACATGGGACATTAAAATCATTTTGTATTTTTACTTGAATAAAATCTTGTTTTTAAAATTCTTTGTTTTGTTGTTTTTTTAAAATAACTTAAAAAAAATAAAAAAAAATAGAGGAGTGGGGTTTTATCAAGAGGTATATAACAAAAAACTCTCTCATTCTGAAAAAGGACACTGAGCAAGTCAGACGTGTTTTCCCAAAGATGCAGTATCGTTGGTATTGTGAGAGTCCCGTCAGTCAGTTTATGTATATGCAAGGAGGGTGGATGAAAACTAAAATAGGAGCCATCATGGATTTCTTTGAACATCATCCAGGCTATTCCCTGGACAATGTGTGGTTGGAAAAAAGAGTGAATATTCCCTATCCTCTAACAGGATCTAGAGTGAGGATGAAAATCAACCAATATTATCAGCAATACAAATGGGTCACTTGTACTCATCTGAATCGTCTCACACCCATCAACACCATTCAGAATGAAAGTTCATGGTACTCGGACATTGGAGATTGTCTGAAATATTATTTCAAGATGGAGAAAAAAGGACTGACATTTCCACCTCATTATTGTCCTACAGAGTACGTGTATTGTCGCATCCCTTTTTCCCAGATTAAAGACTCGATGGAAAAGAAAGGACTTTTGTTGACTCGAGTGATTGAGGACCGATCAGAAGACGAAGAAGAAGAAATAGAAGTGTAAATCATTGAATAAAAAATGTTTATTTTTAAAAAAGTATTGTTATAAATACAAAAGTCCTAAGGTCAAGGGTCTCAGTCTTAGATTGAACATGGCCGAGAGCAGTGGGTTTTACATGACTTTACCCAGTGATGGGTCTATGACCTCTTTTCCTAGCAATACGACGGCTCAATTTAAAACCTTATTACCTCAATCCCTAGATTTAACGGACGGTCAATGGGAAGTGGCTTTGACGGAAATGATCTATCCTTGTAGTATCGAAAATATCAGTGAAGAAGAAGTTTATCTGGAAAAAATTCCCCCTTTTTTTGAAAACATTTCCCCGGGGGAGAAACTGGATCTGGAGGACCCGGATAAGTATCATTGGGGAAGATTTCAACTCTTGAAAAGTGCTCCCATTACTTTTGCCGATACTCAATTGTTAGTGGGATGGAGACAAGCGTATTGGTTGAATGGAACTTATGATCCCACAGAGAAATTAAATTTGTATCGGCTCAAATTTAGACCGGGACCTTATGCCAACCCTACAGCTCTCCTAGCCGAAATCAATGAAGGTTTAGAACGGCGTCTGAAAACCATTTGGAAAAAATATCAGACCTGGACAGGCCCCAGGAGCAGGAGTCCAAGAAATGCGATCAAAGTGGCCGGAGATGGGATTGATGTGACTTTATCAGCCCCTTTAAGGAAAATTCTACAAGAAAGCAGAAGAAGATCCCCCTAAAACCGAGATGAGATTTAACTATCGGGAGAATTTCGATCGAGTGAATTATGTCACTCATTTACGTCAAATTCCCATCTTTATCAGGTTTCCTTTAAGTCTGGCTTATAAATTAGGCTACCACGGTCGCAAATTGGTGCCCGAAAATTGGACAGAAAATACCACCAAATGGATCAACATCAGTTACATGGCTCCGGACACGGCCGATTTATACCGGAATTTAAAATCCATGTATGTGTATTGCGATCTGATTCAACCCCAGACCGTAGGCTCCAATGCCTTGAAACTCTTAAGAGTGGTGCCTTGTCATTTTGAGGACAAAGAAAAACAATGTAAATGGGAACCCATTCGAGCAGAATATGTCCCTTTGAATAAAAAACATTTCGATACCATTGAGATTCACATCATGACTCCTTTAGGACAGCCCATGCCTTTTTTAAGTGGGAAATCTATCGTGAAACTTCATTTCAGAAAAGTATACTGAGATGAATGTACCGTTGTTGTGTTCCATCTTATTGGGCGTGATGGCTTGTCTGGTCTGCTGTCTGTATTGTATTCAGCCCTTAAAAGGGTATAAAAGGAAGTCCCCCGAGGAGAGAAAGGTCAGTTTCACACGAATCATGAACCATGCAGTATCATTCCGGATTACTGAGAGAGACAGGACACGGTTGGACTTATCATAAAGGATTATTACGTCAAAAAGGACACGGCGGAATAGCTGGTTCCCTCATCTCTGGATTAGTGGGAGCCCTTCCCTTGGATAATTTTTCATCGGGAACTCCTGCTACACAATTACTCAAATTGGGTAGGATTTTAAATCACATGAAACCTCAAAAAGGAGGCAATTTTTTAAAGTTCATCTCGGGAACGGTCCCTAACTTACCCCTAGGTTTAACTCTCAAAGACGCGGCCCAATTAGGCATGGGGCGACAAAAAGGTCGAGGATTTGTCAAAGATGTTCTCAAGCATGGAAAAAAACAAGCCATCATGGCCGGAGTGAAGATAGGCAGAGATGTAATGAGAAAAAGAAAAAACATCCGAAATGCTGTGTTAACCCACGGACTCACTGCTGCTAAATATACAGGCTTATTTGCTCTCAATCGAGGCAACTCCCTTTAGAAAGAAGAAGAAAGGGCAAACAGGGAAAGGACGAAGAAGAAGAAGAAAGAAGAGGAAGATTCCTGTTAGCCCGAGTAGGTCCTAAGAGAAAAAGAAAAAAACAAGGAGGAGGAAGGGCCAAGAAAAAAAGGAGCTTAGATGTATTTGACTGAGAGAGAGTATAAATAGGACAGTTCAGTGAACAGAAGGTTCATTTGTGAAAACTTAATCCTAGTAGACACATCATGTTACAGCCCGATTCCTGTGCGTGTGGGATGAACAATTTACAATTGTTCCAAGTCCATCCCACCAATATTGCTTTAGAAGAGTCGAAATGGGAAGAATATTACCCTATTTCCAGTACTTTAGATTCCGACACGGCTCCCATCGAATTTGAAATCAAAGGACAAGGAGACCAGTATCTGGATTTATCTCAAACTTATCTTCAAATGGTCTGTCAATTTACTCAAAATGATGGAAGTGCTCTGGCTGGAGATCCGGCTAAAATAGCTCCGGTGAATACTATCTTACATTCCATGTTTTCGGAAATCGATCTCAGTCTGAATGGCAAAATAGTGACTCAGGGGACGGATACTTATCCTTACAAAGCGTATCTGGAGAAATTACTCTCTTACAAACCCCGCACTTTAATGACTCAGATGAAAGCCTGTAGTCTATGGGAAAAAGATACGGCAGGACATATGGACGAAGTGGGATTAGACCCTCTGGGGGTCTCCGGCCAGGCTGCTAGTAGGAGTTTTGGTGTAGCTCATGATACTGTGGTCATTAGCAAACCCATCCTCACAGAGTACCCGGACGATTCTAAAAACGAAGGATTCAGAAAACGTCACCAAGCTATCGATGGGAGTAAGAAAATCACCTTGCTGGATCGTTTACATCTGGATTTGTTTCAACAAGATCGATTTCTGCCTAATGGAGTGGACGTCCGTTTGCGATTTAATCGAGCTAGACCTGCTTTCTACATGATGACCAATCAAGCCAATACGGGAAAAATCTAGATATTGAGTATGGTCTTGTGGGTGAGAAAAGTCAAACCTTCCCCTACTTTGATGAATCAGATCAATCAAAGTTTGAATACTCACAGAGCCAAATATCCCTTGAGAAGAGTGGAAGTGAAAACCTTTACCATTGCCACAGGAACTCAGTCTAAGATTACAGATCATCTGTTTCAAGGTCAGATGCCTAAACATCTCGTTTTAGGCTTTGTGGAGAATGCGGCCTTTAACGGAGATAAAACTAAAAATCCCTTTCATTTCCAAAACTTTGGGATCAAGAAATTAGATGTCAGTACTCGTTGTTTTAAACCTAATTTCAACGACGATTTTTATCTGAGATCTTATCTCAGTCTGTATCAAGCCCTTGGAAAATTAGGAGAAGACTGGGCTCCAGACATTACCCCAGAAGAGTATAAAAGCGGCTACACTCTATGGGGTTGGGATTTCACTAAAAATCAAGATGCGCAATCGGATAAATTCCATCTCATAGAAACAGGAAATCTGAGAGTAGAAGTGCAGTTTACCAACAACACGGCCAACACCATAAATTGTGTGGTGTATGCAGAATTCGATAACGTCATAGACATTAACAAACAGAGAGAAGTGGCTATTGATTACTAATGGATACGGGACAATTGAGAGAAGTCTTATCCAGAGAATTCAAGAGTTCTTTTGGGGGCGTGTATCCTGTAGATTTATTACCGGATCAATTAAGACCTGGAGAAAAAGCTGTCGTAGTGAATACGGATCCTCAAGATCGACCTGGAGAACATTGGGTGTGTCTGTATGTGAGCAATCCCGTGGTGGAATATTTCGATTCTTGTGGATTTCCTCCCTTACAAAAAGAAATTCAAGACTATATACAGCGTCATGCTCAGCAATGGATTTATAATCCGTATCACTATCAAGAGTGGAATACCGATGTGTATGGACAATATTGCGTGTATTATTTACATCAAAGAGACAAGAAAAGAAAGAAAGCCGACGAGTGGTTATTCCCCTTTGACCAGAGTATGGCTTTACAAAGGGACAGATACGTGGACGTTTGGTTGAAAAACACTTATCATAAATTACCTACGGGTCATGGACAAAAGTGTCAATGTTTTTATCAAAATGTATTGTAATGCATTATTGTTGTTGTTTGTTGTTGTTTGTTAATAAAGAATGAAAATCAAATCTGTTCTTGTCTGTCTTTGTTATTGTTATTGTTTTCAGAAAATCCAGTTTGAACTGGCTGGCTAGGCTTTAGACTGTGAATGAAATCGTGACGTCATAATCACATTCTTGAGTCGCTGCCAAGTATAACCTGTGTAGTCAGCATAAAAAACGTAGGTCTATCGTATTTTTTTGCACACGACCCTTATCTTCCAAGGGGGGTATAAAAACAACGTGTCAAAGACGATCCTCCTCAGGTGGGCATGTGGTTGAGTAAACAACAGTTTGGTAAGCGAATTCCAAGAATATTAGAAGAAGAAGAAGAGATGGAGATGGACATAGACAAATTTGCCTTATTAGAAAAGAGAATGACGGAACCTATGGGGGATCACAAAGCTCCTCAACAAAGAAGAATGGAGTTGAAAACACTGGATCCGGAACCTAGGAATGAATATTTACCCCTGCATGAGCCTGCACTACTGGCTTTTAAAACCCCTGTCCGTATGAAAATCCACTGTCTTTCTCTGTATCCTACAGCATTTTCACAGTAATCTACGGTATATCTACAGTATGCTACGGTATGCTAGCTCTGTATATACAGTAAATCTCTGTATGCCACTGTATGTATCCCCAGCATGCCACAGTTACATACAGTAGGCCCCGATACGCCTACAGTATGCCACTGTATGGCTACTGTTTCCTACAGACAGCTACGGTAAACCACAGTATATGCCCCAGTACGCCCCTGTATATGTTCATTGAAGCAAAAAGAAGAAGTTTACACACTCCCAGAGCACTGTACGGTTACCTAAGATGTGGGATTATCAATTAAGTACACAGAGTTACTTACCTAAGAAATTTTTTAACATTATTTAACACACATAGTAGTGTTTTTTTTTTTAATTTGTTGGGAAACTTATTTTGTTCTTTTATTACTCTGAAATAACTATGAAAAATTAATAAATCATTGCTTCAAAGAATATTTATCTATCAATTTTTAAAATTAATTATTTAATTATTCTTTGGTTTGATTTATTAGTTAATTAATTAATTTATTTATTTTGCGAACTTATTTAATCCATAAAATTGGAGTGACTTTGTAACTTTTGTGGAAAAAAAAAAAAAAAACACGGCCGGGGTAATTCTTGTTTTTTTTTTTAACTTATTGATGTTCTTAAAAACTTTAATCTAATCAATTGCATGTAATCAATCATTGCATAAAAACTTTTTTTTTAATTTCTAAATTCAATATACAAACAAAATTATTAATTGTATACCCGAAAGTTGGATTTATTTGGCTAATTTTATGTAAACAATTTTACGCTAAAATATGTTTCAAAGTCTTTTTGAAGCATATTTGAATTATTTTTAATTATTTTACTACCGTGTTTGTAATCAAAATAATCGTCTAATTATGCACAATCTTAACCCGTCAATAGCTTTTTGAAACTTTTATTTTGTTTTGTATGACAAAAATCAGTTCTCATACAAAGAGAAAATGTTATTTAAAGCAGCTGCAGAGTGGACACGGTCGCTCCCTGTCACAAAATAAACAAGGTATAGTGATCAGTGAAAAAGACAATAGGTGTCATTACTGTGTACCCCATGTCACTGGTAAACAATCAATGGCTTTGATGTTCTTTCATAATCGTGTTACGGTTTTGAAAACATTTTTTCAATCAAATCAAAGTAAAAAAAATGAAATTGCAATTGACACATTAAAATTGTGCATAATCTGATGATTATTTTGATATCAATCATGGACGTAAAATAACTGAAATTCGTTTTAATATGCTAAAAAAAAATACTTTGTAACATAGTTTAGGCTAAAAATCTTAATACAAAAAACCCTAAAATATCTCTTTTTGGGGGATATAAATAATTAATTATTTTGTTGTATTGTCAATTTAAAAAATATAATTAAAAAGTTTGACATTTTTATGATGATAAATAAATTATTTATTTTATTTATTTACCATTTATTTATTTCTCTAACACCTATTTAATCCATAAAATACTTGGAATGGTTTTTTGTACCTGTTGGAAAAAAAATTACACACACACACACCTTCACAACAAGAGTAATGTTGCTTTTTTTTTAAATAGTTTTTAAATTCAATTCAATAATTGATTTTAAATGGTTAGTGAATAAATAGATAAAACGAATTTACAGCACGTATTTAATCATTGTAAAAGGAACAATATATTTTTCTATTTAATTTTAAAATTGACGATACAAACAAATTAATTAACTATAATCCCGAAAGTTGGATTTATTTGGCTTATCTAATGTAAACAAGTTTCCGCTAAAATGTCCCTCAAAGTCTTTTTGAAGCATATTGATACTACTTTTAATTATTTTACTTCCGTGTTGGATATCAAAATAATCGTCTCATAATGCACAATATTAATCCGTCAATAGCTTTTTTGATACTTTTATTTTGTTTTGATTGAAAAAAAAACGGTTTTCTCACAAAGAGAAAATGTTATTTCAAACAGCCGCAGAGTGGACACGGTCGCTCTCTGTCACAAAATAAACAAGGTATAGTGGTCAGTGAAAAAGACAATAGGTGTCATTACTGTGTACCCCATGTCACTTGTAAACAATCAATGGCTTTGAAGTTCTTTCATAATCGTGTTAGGGTTTTGAAAACTGATTTTTTTTTTCAATCAAAAGAAAGTAAAAATATGAAATTGCAATTGACAAATAAAAATTGTGCATCATCTGACGATTATATTGATATCCATCATGGACGTAAAATAACTGAAATCTGTTTTGATATGCTTAAAAAATACTTTGTAACATAGTTTAGGATAAAAATATTAATGCAAAAAACCCTAAAAAATTTCTTTTGGGGGGATATAAATAATTAATTATTTTGTTGTATTGTCAATTTAAAAAATATAATTAAAAAGTTTGCCATTTTTATGGTGATAAATTAATTGTTTATTTTATTTATTTACCATTTATTTATTTCTCTAACAACTATTTAATCCATAAAATACTTGGAATGGCTTTTTTGTATCTTTTAGAAAAAAAAAATTACACAAAAACACAAACCTTCACAACAAGCTAGAGTAATGCTGCATTTTAGAAAATTTTATATTTTAAAATCAATTCAATAATTGATTTTTAAATGGTTAGAAAATAAATAAATAAAACTGATTTAAAGCACGTATTTTATCATTGTAAAAAGAACAATATATTTATCTATTTATTTTTTAAATTGGCGATACAAGCAAATTAATTAATTATTATCCCGAAAGTTGGATTTATTTGGCTTATTTAATGTAAACAAGTTTCCGCTAAAATGCCTCTCAAAGTCTTTTTGAAGCATTTTTTATACTACTTTTCATTATTTTACTTCCGTGTTGGATATCAAAATAATCGTCTCATAATGCACAATCTTAATCCGTCAATAGCTTTTTCGATACTTTTATTTTGTTTTGTTTTGTTTGACAAAAAACGGTTTTCTCACAAAGAGAAAATATTATTTCAAACAGCCGCAGAGTGGACACGGTCGCTCTCTGTCACAAAATAAACAAGGTATAGTGGTCAGTGAAAAAGACAATAGGTGTCTTTACTGTGTACCCCATGTCACTGGTAAACAATCTATGGCTTTGAAGTTCTTTCATAATCGTGTTACGGTTTTAAAAACCGGTTTTTTTTTTCAATCAAGACAAGGTAAAAATATGAAATTGCAATTGACAAATTAAAATTGTGCATAATCTGACGATTATTTTGATATCCATCATGAACGTAAAATAATTGGAATTTGTTTTCATATGCTTAAAAAATACTTTGTAGCATATTTTAGGAGAAATGATTTTCATATAAAAATAAAACTAAAAAAAATCAATCGGGGGGGGGGGGTATATTTAATCACTTTGTTGTCTTGTCAATTACAAAAATAAATAAATTATTTTTTATTTATTTTGTTTATCTATGTATTTGTAGATAAATTGATAAAAAAAATAAATAAATAAAATAAATAATTAGTTCATTTATTAATTTTGTATTTTTAAAGTCATTTATTTTATTTAATTTTCACTTACCCCTTCACCTTATTTATTTTGTGCCGAGTTTACTATGCAGCTCTGTATTTGTCAAGAAATAGATTGATTTGTTTTTAAAATGATTAATTTCATGCCGTTAATTAATTATATTTATTATTTCAAAGAAACTATATCAATTTTAAAAACTACAATTTTCCAAAATTCAGCATTACCCCGGCCGTGTTTTTTTTTTTAAAGTTGAAAATCACAACAAGTATTTTATGGATTAAATAGGTGTTTGCAAAATAAATAAATGAATTAATTGACTAATAAATCAAACCAAAGAATAATTAAATAATTAATTTTAAAAATTGATAGATAAATATTCTTTGAAGCAACGATTTATTAACTTTTCATAGTTATTTCAGAGTAATAAAAGAACAAAATAAGCTTCCCAACAAATTAAAAAA